TTAAAAGAGCACTTCCTCACAACTTCCTGCTGGCTTCCAACAACCAAAGTCAGTGAGGAAGCCGGCAAGAAATTGCAAGTCCCAGGTGGCTTGCAAGCAGGATGGCAGGCAAGTGGCTGCTGCCAGGTGGAAGAGGGAGTGAGGGGGTGTGTGGGTGGCCAGGGAGGTGCGGTGTGAGTGCAGCAAGGTTTGGGGTGGCTGCTGCTGGGTGGGGGAGGGGAGGGTGCGCAAGTGGCCAGGGAGGTATGGTGAGAGCACAGCAAGACTCAGGGAGGGTGCATGAAGGTGTGCAGTGGTGAGGAGGCACAGTGCGAGCATGGTGGGGCTTGGGGTGGGTGCTGCTGGGTGGGAGAAGGTGTGTGAGTGGCTGCAGAGGTGCAGCGTGAGTGTAGAGGGGCTGGGGGAGGGTGTGCAGGTGGGAGACACCTGAGCAGCTTGTAACCTTTCCTGCCAGCTTCCCCATTGATGTTGCTTGTGGGAAGCTGGCAGGGAAGATCACAAATTGCAATCATGTGACCGCAGGATGCTGCAACCATCCTTAGTGCAAGCTGGAGGTGTTGGGACAGCCAAAACTTTGAGGACTGATCATAATCACTACTCATTCAGCACTGTTGCAACTTCAAACCTTGGTTGTTAACCAAGAACTACCTGCATTGCTACTTTAAGATGCTCTGAAATTGCCAAGGCACAATGGTCTTTAACACTGTCCTTTAAAATACTAGAAACTGACACTTTCCAAAAGCAATTTTAATTTTGCTTATTCAGGAGAGGCTCTGTTACAGTTGTGCTTTTGATTCAACAGCAACTGGGACCAGGATTGCCATTGTTAAGTGATGCAGTTGTAACCTGTGACTTCACATGACCATGCCACTTAGCAACAGCAATCCCGGCAGTCCTGTTGTTGTCGTAACCCCAGGATGTGCAAGCTAAACAGGAAGCAGTGGGAGTCCCAGGTAAGGAACATGGGGGGAGGAGGTGCATGGGTGCCATGGGTGGGTGCTACAGAGCACAGGCAGGTTGGCGGGGGCCATGGGAGGCTGTGCGGGTGCTGTGGGAGCGTGCTGTGGGACCATGGGAGTGTGGGCATGGGGTGCTACCAACTATGGGATTTCGTACTTCAAAGCGGGCTCCTCAGGAGAAAAAGTGGTGAAAGTGACTTACTGGAGTGACTTGTGACCTTCCCTGTCAGCTTCCCCATTGACTTTGCTTGTGGGAAGCTGGCAGGGAAGGTTGCAAATGATGATCACGTGACGTGGCTCACTGCTACACTATAATCAGAAGCTAGGCACCTGAATGCCTGGATCGCAGTCATGTGACCATGGGGACACTGCGATAGCTGGAACTTTGAGGAATGGTCATAAGTCCATCTTTTCAGCAATGCCATAACTTGAAACGGTTGCTGAACGAATGGACATAAGCCAAGGACTACCTGTATTAACGTTCATATACATTTTTGGAGCGTGATGACACCCTGAAACAAAAGGCCCTTTATCACTATGCAACCCATTGAAACACAAGTAAAAATTTAAAGCCATAGTTCAGATCTGTGTTTTGTGGCACAGATGGCATAGTAAATTTTAAGTCTTATTTTAAAGGTTCAACCCATAGACAAAAATGTGATTTGTAAACTGGATTTTGTTCTATAGTTTAACTTTTACAATCCCAACATATCTATGGTGGTAATCTTAAGAGGGGTTGAGAAAATTGATCACGAGAGCTCATAGGAGTCTGTCCTCATATTTAGGTATATGTGCCAAGGTGGCACAGAAACACTGAAAGGGTGAGTTTCCTATGCACACAGTTGAGAGTTACGAATGCATGCAGTTTCATTGTCTTTTTTTAGGGTCTACCCACCCTACCCCCCGTATAAATCTAGACAGTCAAAGCCATTGTTTTCCATAGAATCACAGAGTTGGAAGGACCTAAGAGATCATCAAAGCCAACCCCCTGCGCACTGCAGGATTCACACCACCATCCCCAATAGATGACTATCCAGCCTCTGTCTGAAAACCTCCAGTGAAGGGGAAGAAATCACTCCATGCAGTAACTTATTCTGATTGACCACTCTTTCTGTCAAGAAGTTCCTCTTCATGTCTAATCTGTATCTACATCCTGAAAGTTTCATCCCGTTAGCTCTAGTCTTACCCTCTGGAGCAAGTAAGAATAAGTCCCAACCCTCTACAACGTGACAGCCCTTCAGGTATTTGAAGACTGCTATCATGTCCCCTCTCAACCTTCTCTTCTGCAAGCTAAACATACCTAGCTCTTTTAACCACTCCTCGTAGGACTTGGTTTCCAGTCCTTTCATCTTCTCTGGCCTCACTCCGTTTTATCAATGTCCTTTTTAAACTAGGATGTGCAGAACTGAACCCAATACTCCTAGTGAGGCCTGACCAAGGCAGAGCAGAGCAAGATGACTTCCCATGATCTGGACTCTATGCTCCTTTTGATGCTCCTCAAGTTGCCATTGGCTTTTTTGCAGCTGCATTACACTGTTGGGACATGATCAGCTTGTGATCCACTAGTACACCCAAGTCCTTCTCACACATGCTGCTTTTGAACCAGATTTTCCCCATTCTGTACATGTTTTTCTTACCTAGATGCATGACTTTACATTTCCCCATTAAATGTCATTCTATTTGTTTCTGCCCATTGTTCTATCCTAAGTCTTTTTTAATGTTTCACTCTCCTCCCAAATATTAGCCACTCCTAGCTTTGTATCATCTGCAAATCTGATAAGCATTCTCTCCACTCCCTCATCTGTATCACTTACAAAAATGTTGAACAGCACCCCACTCGTTTCTCCAGGTAGATTTGATGCCATTTATAACTAGCCTTTGAGTACTATCCTTGAGCCAACTGTGAATCCACCTAATGGATAGCTGATCATTTTGTTAATAAGGATGCTATGAGAGACTTTGCCAAAAGCCTTGCTGAAGTCAAGATATACTATATCCATGGCATTCCCCCAAACAGGCCAGTAACTCTGTCATAAAAGGAGATCAAGTTAGCCTGACATGACTTGTTTGGCATAAATCCATGTTGGCTCCTAATGTTAATTAATGAATGCCTATCTAACTGCTCACAGACATGCTGTTCAATACTCAAGGACTTTGCTCAGTACTGATGTCAAGCTCACAGGCCTGTAGTTTCCCAGGTCCTGCCTCTTCCCCTTTTTGAAAATAGGAACAACATGAGCCCCTCCTTTGGTCTTCTGGGACCTTGCCTGTTCTCCAGGACTTCTCAAAGATTACAGAGAGTGATTCTGCAATTACCTCAGCTAGTCACCTCAAGACCCTAGGGTGTATTCCATCTGGCCTGGAGACTTTAAGTCATTTAGATTAGCTAGGAATTCTCTCGCTTCCTCTGCTTATCTTGAGGTTCAGCTCACTTCCCCCCAAGTGGCCCAGAGAGGGCCACCTGACAGTTTGTTCACCTTCTGAGAGAAAACAGGTACAAAATGGGAATAAGTTCTGCCTTCTCATAATCCTCCTTAACCATTTCACCATTCTCTTTCTGCAGAAGACCCACTGTCTCCTTGACTTTCCTTTTGCATCTGATATACCTGAAAAAAACCTTTTTGTTGTTGTTGTTTTTGGTGTCCCTGCTAGCCTAACCTCATGCTAGACTTGCAGTTTCTGCAAACTGCTTTGTATTTTTCTTTGGGTATCTTCCCCTCTTTCTATTTCTCCTACACTTCCTTTTTTCTTTTAAGCAATTTGTAAAGTTCTGCGTGGATCCGGTTGGTCTCTTACGGTGTTTCCCATTCTTCCTTCTTGTAGGAAATGTTTGGGTTTGTGCCTCCCATATCTCATTTCCCAGAAGTTCCCAGCCTTGTTGGACATCCCAGTTACTTTTACTTCCTCAACCATTTCCTCCCTGTTGCTGAGGAGTAGATTCAGGGTAGCAGACCTCCTTGTTTTCTCTTCTACCTTTTGACAAATGAAGTTGTCTGTGAGAAAGGACAAGAATTTCTCGGACATGTAACTGTTGGTAGAAGATCTCCAGCAAGTATCTGGATAATTAAAATCCCCCATAATCACTATCTCATGCTTCCTTGAGAGGCCTATAATAAAACTATCACAATGGTGCCCCTTTTATTTCTCTTTCCTTTTATTCTTGCCCAGACACTCTCAACAGGGCTCCCGTGCTCTGAAAAGTGAGTTTCTGTGGATTCGTATGATTTCCTCACCTACAGCGCAACACTCCCTCCATTTTGTTGAGCCTATTTCTTTTATATAAGTTGTAGCCTTCCATCCCTGGGTTCCACTTGTGCATACCATCCCACCATGCTTCAGTAATACCCAAGACATCATATTTATGTTCCTGTGCTAGGATTTCCACTCTTCTTGTTTGATTCCCACACTTTGTACATTGGGATACAGGCCCCATAGTTTGGAGTTGGCACTTATTGGCCTGCCTCTTGTATTTTCTTGCCTGTTTCTTTGCCCACCTGTTTCTGGCTGTACAACCACTTTCCTCATCCTGACTTGTTAGCCACATAATCAACTCCAGTGTTTTACTACCCTCTCCCCTTTGAAGTAATTTAAAGCTAGTTAAGTGTGCGAGCATGGCAGGGCACCTGTTGAACATATCCTTCCCTGTCCTTGTAAGATGCAACCGATCTCTTACCAGTAGTCCTTCTTGTAGGTAAATCAATCCATGGTCAAAGAAGCCAAACCCTTCTCCTCTAGGATCTTATTTTCTCTTCTTGCACCATGTCCGTTCACTGGAACGATAGGTTAAAAAAAACAACAACCTGTGCTCCCAGACTCTTCACCTTCCTGCCCAGCTCTTCGTACTCTTTGCAGATTGGTTCAAGGTCTCTTCTTGCAGTGTTGTATCATCAGAAAGGGGTAATAATCGGTAGGACTGAAGAGTCTTAGCCTATCAGTCTCATCCTGAATTTGGGCAAAGCATAGGACTATGACATGATTTACTCAGTGAACTTTGAGCTAGGCAAGATGCAAAAGTTTAATTAAATAATTTGAACAACTTCATGAAGTACAAGATTTATTATTTTTATGGAGTTGTCTATGACAATGAACATGCATGTTCAGATCATTCTGTACAGCAGTCATGAGACTTTGTGTGGGATCCAGGTGCCATCACCACATCGGAAATCGTGAATCCAGGCCTTTGCTGACGCAGCCATGGGTCTGACATGTGGCAGACTTGCATCTGTATGTCTTAGACCTATTATATCTATATGTATTTACCACTGGAAGATCCGTTTTAGAGGAGATGACCTGCAAAAGTTAACGGACTCACAAGGATCAGCTCCTGAGTAACTCTCCGCCCTTAAGAGACTGGTTTTTGGGAGGGGGGTCGCCTGGGACAGAGTCTCCCAATCCTCGACTGGCCGGGCTGCACCCAGAGGAGCAGCCTACGCCGCTGGCGCCTCCTTAACCCATGCAGGGGCGGCAGCGAAAGCCACGCTCGGCTCGGGAGAAGCGGCCCCGCAGCCAGACGTTCCGCTCACCTTCTTGGCGGAGGTCGCGGGGCTCGGAGGGCGAGGCGCCTCCACCGCTTCTTCCACCCCGGCGGGAAGCGAG